CGACACGATTCGGTCGCATACCCAGTTGGACATTAGACCTAGAATCGTCGTCATGTTATTGCACCTTAAAATGACGCTGTGTACTTATCCTGTTGGCCAAACAAAAGAAGTATCAATGCTTTGCAGAGTATTTACGTAACTCGCTGCTCATTTATGTGCATAGGCTATGTTTCATGTAGATACTTTAGAATGGGGAATATTCATTGAGTGGTCATGTATTGTTTGTGAAATGGTGGATCGAGGCCAAGGAAGTAAATGGTTGGGAAGCCAAGGCAGTTGTCGGCTTGTGACCATCGCACGATTTGCGCTAACTGCCAACAAGTTGCGCGACTGTCGCAAAGTCCCACACCTGCCTTAGTGTCACATACGGAAATTATGATTTCCGATTGGTGAATGGGAAGATTTGGTGTGGCCAGAACAGAATAGTTAAGAAGTCATAGACATGGAGGTGCCACGTCAGGGTTTCTGTATTACCGGTCAAATTATGGCGCATTGCTTGAAAAAGATGAAGATGTTCATTATATATGTCAGCTTCCCATTCCGAAGGAGTAGGAAACTGAATGGTGGCGCCAGTCGTACTGTAGTAAGTTGGCATTAGAGAGGAACGGTAGTCGACCAGGCTGACTATGGGCCCATCATTTCGTCTTCACTAGTGTACTGTTCAGAGTCCCTGTTGATGTAGTTCTTGTACTATTTTTTATTCCTGTATTCTTTCCCTATTGAATGGCCGTATTGAAGCGCCTTGATATTGAGCACCGTTTCATGCCCATCACATACATAGAACTGCTTGGACTAACAAGGGTTCTGAGATTACTAGTCACGGTCAAGCAGTGACTTTGTAAAATAGGCAGTTTTTTCATGAATCATGAAAAGTTGAAAGTAAATTCTTAGCAATTGCTGCTTATTCCAGAATACGCCCACAAGGCAATCGAGAAAAGCTCGAAGGTAGTCGTGTGTGCACATCTGTTATCCCCGGTGAACCTCAGGTATGTTTTGTGTTATTGCCTATGGGTTTTTCTTAAGATTTTCTAAGTCTTTTTACTTTATTGTTTCCACTTCTTAGTATTTGTATTCCAGAATTGATATTGGTTTTTGTAATTTCCAGGTTACTATTGGCACTGACCGTTCATTCACTTATGATCATGTTTTCGATCAAGCTACTCAACAAGCTGAAATCTATGACTCTTGTATAGATAAACTAGTTAACGGTCTTTTTGATGGGTTTAATGCTACAGTTCTCGCTTATGGCCAGGTAACTTCTTCTCGAGTTTTGTTTTGATTCAACTACTTCCCCTTCTTACATTTTGTGAATGATACTGTATGTTCTGAATAACTGTATGTTCAGACGGGTTCTGGTAAAACTTACACTATGGGTACGGCTTTCGACACCGGTGCAATATCAGAGCATGAAGTAAGTATTTGATTCGATTACACTACTTGCATTTTAGGTTCCTCATTCTATATGATTTTCTTTTATATGGTTTTCTTTTTAAGGTCGGAGTCATTCCGCGGGCATTAGCTCATGTCTTCCGTAGGGTTTCGGATTTGAAACAAGAGGCACGAGAAGGGGGCATCCTTGAGCCGACCTTTGATGTCTCCGTCCAATTTATTGAGGTGATCCTTTTTTATAGACTTTTGATTGATTTTCAATGTTGCTGGTAGGGCAAATCGTCTTTACTTTACGCCTTTGTTTTTTTATTTTTGTCATCTACCAGTTCGAAGAAGTAGCATATCTTATATTGAGGTCATCGTGTTAATCTCGTTATAGCTCTACAATGAAGAAATCATTGATTTGCTGGCAAATGATCGTTCGTCCTCGTTAAATATACGTATACACGAGGACAATCGTGGTGAGATATATCTTCATGGTGTCACAACCAGACAAGTGCAAGATCTTCATTTCGGTAAGTTATTGTTTTGTGCTAAACTTTTCTGTTCATTCTTGACTTCCCATTTTTTTTAGACTACTCATTCTGTTCTGTTATGATACTTCATTGATGGCGTTACCCCCCCAGTTAATCCTTTCCCAGTAACTTATGTACAAAAGGTACGCGTGCTGCACTTTTTGCGTCATCCCACCAATATTCAGTTTATTTGAAAAATCGCTTGCAGAATGATCCAAAGTGGAAAGCTTAAGAGTTTTGACTAGTTTTGTACTTTCAACAAAAACACTTCATTCGTCAATCTCGTTTTGATTCTCTTTCTTGTCGTATTCACATCTCCACTTTGTTGAATCATGTTAAGCAAGCTTCATGGTCAACGTGGGTCGAGTTGAGGTGATTTTTTAAAGATCGTAACCGGTCTGCTTTCGGCTTTCATTTTATCATTGCTTGATTTTCCTGTATTAGCTTGTTCTTTCAGCTATATTATAGAAACTATGTGCTTCATTTCTGCACCATTGTTTACCTTTTGTACGAATGTTTTGTTATCCTTTTTGTTTAGACTCTTGAAATTTTGAAAAACGGAGCGCTCAATCGTACAGTCGCTGCAACCAATATGAACGAACAATCTTCACGGTCGCATGCTATTTTTTCCTTGCACATCAAGCAGCAAAGAGTAGCAGTAGCGCAAGAAGCTGAGCCGGTCATTACTCAGGTAACCAATAGTGTTTCGTCTAGGCTTACTTCATATGTTTAACGCTATATCCTTTCAAAGAGAAGACGCTGATTTTGTAGGAGATTGAAATGGAAATGCTGTCAGCAAAATTCCATTTTGTTGACTTGGCGGGATCCGAGAGATTGAAACGAACTGGTGCTACTGGTGATCGAGCTAAAGAAGGAATCAGTATCAACTGTGGATTGGTATGTGTTTTGAACGAAGTGTTGTGTCATCTGAATTAGGTCCGACAAAGGGCACTTTTTCTCTGGGGGCCGAGGTCCAGGAGTCAATGGTGTGTTTTAAAGCCTTGCCTTGCACATGTAGTTCTTTTTTCCGAAAACCATTCAGTTCGGCTATGTTGTCTTTATTTGACCAAAGTTTTTGGTTGTAATGTCGTTTTTCAGCTTGCACTTGGTAATGTTATTAGTGCACTTGGTGGAGCTAATGGTAAAGTCAGTCATGTACCGTATCGTGACTCGAAACTGACCAGGCTTCTTCAAGACTCGTTAGGAGGCAATAGGTGCGTTTGAAATGCATCTGTCGTAATTCCCGATCTTTTTTACATCCTCTTAACATTTGGCTTTCAGTCGCACACTGATGGTTGCGTGTGTGTCGCCAAGTGATAGCGATTTTCGTCGAGACGTTAAACACCTTAAAATATGCGAATCGTGCGAAGAATATCAAGAATAAGGTTCGTCATGACAATGTTATTCAGTTTTTTACTTCCAAGTCTTGGCTGCCTTGGTAACTAGTTTGTTAGTGGTTATTGGGTAAACTGGTCAGGGGAGGGGAAGATCATTAATTGCGATGCCGGGATGCAATAGAGCCTTGCTTCGGTTATGTTGGTATAGCTCGAGTGGGGAATGTCACTGTTTTCCTTGGTCCTTTCAAAGTAGAAATTCCAATGAGATATAAATGAGTGCTTAATACGGCTTCCTGTTAGAGACCCGTGTTTTGAGAGTCTCTAAATGATCTATGACCTGGAGTTGTTGCGAACTTTGTTCGTACTTTCACTTGGATTTATTATATTTTTATTGCATATCGGGCACCTAATTTCCTAGGTGGTGGCCAATCAAGACAAGTCATCAAAACTTATTGGCGAATTACGCGGTCGTATTGCGGCACTCGAAGCTGAATTGCTGGAGTTCAAACAGGGCCGACGAACAGTTGGCGTCGATGGAGTCGAGTCGGTTAATGATCAGTACCACGAGAATGTGATGCTTACGGTATGCCTACCTTTCTTTGCGTGTTTTTATTTTCTTTTTTTTCGTTATTTGCCTTTACATGATCATTTTCTTTTCCTCTGTCTTCGGCTTTTTTTCCTATAGTGCTTAAAAACTTTGCCGGTCTCTGTGTTGTTGTGTGAGATCCGAGGGTCTCATGTAGTTTGAAAGAGTCATGAGAAGAGTACGGTGGATTCGTAATCTAAGTCGTTATATTACGCTGTGGCTTTTGTGTCCCATGGTCAAATTTATTTTTGACATCTCTGACTAAACAGTTCCAATTTTCTTGATATAACACCGTATTTATCCTAGGAATGTTTCTCACACTCAGCTTGCAAATCATTGTTTACTTAACTCCAAGCGGTCAACAATTCAGAGTTTTCGGTCTCTTATCATATTTGTCGATGAGATGCTGCAATTTTTGAGGCGGAAATCAACCAGCTGAGATTCCGCGTGAAAGCTCTGCAAGAAACGAACGAGATTCTTCGTAACCGCAATGTGGATTTAATGGCGAAAGATCTCGGTCCAAATGGCTGTTCTGTGAATTCGCCAACGGATGAGCACGGGGGATCGTCTGATGGTAAGCACGACACAAAATCTCGTACTTGTATCGGTGGAGTAAACAGTCATGACCTTCAGAAGCAAACAGTTCTGCTTCGAATGATGCAGTCATGGATCCGGTGCAGGCCACTGTGCGAAAATATCTGGAGGAATTGGAACGAATGCGATCACAACTCTACGAGTCCCAGGCGGTAGCGAATCAGTTGAGGAAAGAGATGAACAAGTGGAAGAATCAGGTTTGTGTATAGTTATTGAGGCTTTTCTCTTTTTCATGTTTTTATTCGCATTTGTGCTATTTATTGATTTTATTGGTTACTTATAAGACGTTGCGATTGGTCTAAATGTTTCTGTAACCCTGTTTTCCTTTGAAATTGCCGTTATGAGCGCTTATCCTTGCAAATTTTCATCGCTTAAAGGAATCTTCCACGGACCATGGACCAGTGGGCGGGACCGGAAGTGGTTTTGCGACGAAATGCATGGTAGGTACGGATCCACGTTCATGGGAAGGTTTGAAGTGAATCCTGTTCACGTTCGTGCGTTCGACACGTGGATCCGTACCTACCATGCATTTCGTCACAAAACTTCCGGTCCCGCCCACTGGTCCATGGTCCGTGGAAGATTCCTTTAATCGGCTCTTAACTGGGTCATGTCCGCAGTGATTGCAAAATGAGTGCACAGGCGCAAAACTGTCTTTAGTTGTATGTCATTTGTGTGGGATGCACAGTAATCCGAAAGTTCACCGATACTTTAGTTGATCACGTAAATAAACTACTGGCTCTGTGTGTTGGTTATCGGTCATAGGGGAGAGTGTAGAACTTTCGGACAGTACGACGCGTTCGCTTTTCCTCCATGAATACGACTCCTTCTTTTTCTTCACATTTTCTTTGGCGGGGGGGGGGGAACATGGCACCATATTCAGCGGAGCTCTCCCACGTTTCATTCGTACACTGTACATCCCATACTGTCCACCCCCAAACTTCAAACATGACCTCCTCTATCTATCGCGGCTACGAATGGATAGGAATCCTCAACCATGGCTTACGTCGGTCAGTATGTCTGTTGATCTGTCTCTGTGTCTATCCATCTACAGAATCCCCCTTGGTGATAAGACTCAGATAGGAGAAACCGACTACTAGCTAGTAAACATAGGAGGAGAACAGGGAAACATCTGATGTCTTTTCGGTGTGGTAGTGGAGACAGCGCAGCGATGAGTTCCTCTTTAGCATCCTTTGTTGGAATGGGGTTCGCTGACCATAAGATTGAATAGATCTTCCACTGTTGTAGGATTGATTCACCAATTTCCCGAAAAGCATAAACGCGGTAGTGGTCATCTTACAATAATTTTGAATGCCTTCTTCGCTTCGAAGGTGAAGGTGTTGGAATAGTTTCATAACTGATTTATGGGTTCGTCTGCAAGTGTTTGGCGACCTTTATTCTAGGTCGGACAACGGGCCACTGTTGTTTATATTCTTCTTTTGCCCGCGCTGAAGTGTTTTTTGAGTAGCACTTCCAGGTCACCCCAAGGCTTCAGTGATTTGAATGTTTCAGGCACTCGGTGGCGGTGGATTCATGGAGAGTAACGATAATTCGTTCACATCGTTCAGTCACCAACAACTAATTGAAGATGCTCGAGCTGATATAGAAAGGCTTCGAAGGACTGTGTCCGTAGCTTCAAATGAAGGTAACTTTCAATTTAATGCGCGTTTTTTTGAAATCGTTTATTATCCGTACTTTCTTGGTGTGGATGTCTTCAAGAATGATTGTATATCTCACTAGGATGCTCAACTATGAACAAAATACTTCGCACTCAGAGGTATAACCCCCCTCCCTCCCTCCCCTGATATCCAAAGATTTCACTGATATTAAAAAAACAGCATCCGTTCATATCAAAATTGTGCCATCAATCATTCCACCGTGGGACCGTTTTCCCCTAACTCAGCTTTCCGTGGCACGCTAACTTAGCTTATCAGCGATGATATTGTGATGAACCGAAAAGCTGAAACTTTTGGCAAGAGTATTTGATGTGTTTTACTGTTGTTTTGACCGCAAATGGCGATGCAGTGTTACCCCGCTGTGTTATCGGCTCTTATGTGATAGCGTTTTGCTATGACGAAAAACAGCGGGTAACAAAGCAATACATTATTGCGATGCATTTTCAGGCTTAATATCTCTTCAAGTAACCTAATTTAGTAAGCTGTTCAACTGAACATTGTTACGCATGTTTTTTTTAAACTTGGATGACTTCATACCGTCAACTTTATATTTCTACCAAATTTGGTAGAGGCAGAGCTCTTCTCTTCGGGAAATGTCCTCAGTTCCAATTTGGTCTATATCTACCTTCTATGTACTCTCGCAGGTTGAGCTGTTTCACTTGAGTGGGCACAGCTGTTTTTACCTGATCTATTACTGTCTGAGATAGCTCGTTTCTGTGGGATAAGGTGCTATATCAGGATTGAGGGCACGTCGGTACGCCCTATTGACAATGTGATTCTTGCAAGAATCGTAGGGAGAGACGTGCTGGTGCAAATACTGAAGTCTTTTCAAGCTCGTTTCCCGAAATCCGATACGCCGCGCTGATCTTAACCCATGACCGCGGTGGGCTCGATGAAGCGACCATGCGCTCGGCCTCTCACCATCCTGTGTGTCGTAGCTGTGTCTGCATTGAGTGTATCCGACGTTTGCATTAAAGTAAATGATTCTCTACTCATCCGCTGTAGGCTGAAGGCCAAAGATGTTGGTGTGCATGAAGCACTCGCACGCTTTGGATTGATGCGGCAACATGTGCACTTAATTAAGACCTACTTCATTCCCCCCAACAAGCGAACTACCCGCTAGCAACGCTTGCATTGGTCTGCCCATAGGTTTTGAGCGAAAGCTAGTGTTTTGTAGATACTATTCTTGATTTAAACCCCATAATAGCCCACTGCTTACCCGTAAACCATTTACTCGTTGCCTCTACTCTTTTGGATTTTTCCACTTGTGATCGGTTCTCTCAAGGCTCTTCACTTGTGAACCATCACTTTCCTTCTATTCAATCTCCTTTTGCATTACTTTGATTCACACTAAAGCTGGTTAGGAACATATATTAGCGGAGCAGCACATATAGCGTTCCATGATGTTCTGCTGTTCGCATAATATTATTCAGAATGTTTCACGTGCGCACCCCACACTGAAGTAAGCATCCGTTGGGTGATCCTTAACCCATTCGCGACCGCGCCGGTTTGCGCATTAGCAGGAGAGTCAGGAGATTTTTCTTCAATAAAATTTGAGTGGATGGAGATTCCCCGTGCCCAAGGCTGGCATAGATGAATGAGGGTATGAAGATTCTTTTCAGGAAAGAAAACTTTCCAAATTCCATTTGAAACACGGCAGCTCGCGGGTCCACGACCATCCACCACACCCGAATTGTACATGGATTTTTGTCAGACACGGTGGCTGCCATTAAATCAGAATGGGTTAATAGCAAAATTGATTGATGATTCGACAAGTTTTATGACCAGTGCAAAGGTCAAGCGGGGTGAGACATTGCGGCATAGTGAATGATGTATCCGATGCGGCCAACGCTTGATTGTGGTTTATGACTCAGCGGATGCTTGGGAATTGTGCGGCGGTCGGGGATTTCCCCTATACACCACGCCTTTGTTGGGAAATAGGGCTCGGCAGCCATAAAACGGGGAGGCGTTGGCTGAATAGGGAAGGGATAGATATGACAGGGATTGAAAGTGTGGGCAAATGAAGAAATATATTGAGAAACGAAGTAGGTTTCTTCCTGCAGTGTTGGCTGGATGACTCTTTTGATTTAAAAAAGCTAACTATTTGAGATACGGAGGCGTAATAGGCAACCATGCGTACCGATGATTTCTTACGCAGCACCCACTGACCACAAATGCTTTTGTGAAGTCCTGAAGCAGGACTCTTACATTCACAAAGGCGGGATAGTAAGAAGAGTGTTTCTTATTCTCACAAGAGTGCTGAGTTATTGATAAAGCTCGCCGGCTACCTTTTCAGATTATTTTTCCAAGCTTTTGTTCGAGTCGCGCCTGGGCGAAGTGTTTAACGCTCTTTATGACATTTCACGATTTGACGAGCTCGGCGCAAAATAGTTTATTATTACTATAAGAACATGGATTACCTGATTTTCTGCTCCTTAATTTGTTTGAAATCTAATGGGATCTTAACTCTTCTCATGGTCAGTAGTGGACTTGTCGTTTTTTCCTAATCTTTTACAGAGAAAAGTGGGTTTTTTCGAACTTGTTTGACCCTTTGACGACCGCCGTTATGCGTGCGTCACTTCACTTCTTTTTAAATTTTTTCATCAGTAATCATTAACTCTCCAACAATTTCACTATTAGTAATAGCGCATTATTCCGCGAATTCGATAATGTATTTGGCAGTTTTGAAACATAAAAATGGCAAATAAACCACGAACGGGTCTCCTTTGAGTGAGAGTGTGGCTCATCAGCGGGCCACATGGTCGTCAAAGGGTTAAATAGTAAGTGGTCTAGACTTGTTTGGTAATGACATTACACCTTATTGCTGGTAGAAAGTTACTGTAATCAAAATTACAACAAATTTTTGCATCACATTGTACGCGGAAGGTGTTGCAATTCTCTTGATTTCCATTCTGAATTCTACAGTCTAAAAATTTGCTGATTAGCCCACGAGAGTATGACTAATCTCCTGAAATAAGATTGAGAAACCTTTTCCAGCTAATGGATGGCTATTTTGCACCAGGCTGCAATCCGCATCTGTTTCGAAATCGTTTGACTTATGGAATTTTGTGAACTTCAACGTAGGGCGTATGCTACGCTTCCCCAGAGGGACGCATTTCTCTCCTCCAATGTTATCTAAGGTTGAGGGAGACAGGTTTGCGTCAAAGGATCGCCTTTCAGACAGTTACAGCAGTGTGGCTACTCAGAAAATAGAGTGCTTCAAATAGTAGTATGGCTACTCAGAAAATTGATTGATAAAAGGATAAAAGGATAAAGCATTTGCCGTTGATCAATCCCTTTTTGGGATGCGGCACGCATTCTACTTCCATTTGTACATTCGTAGTGGCGTTTGAATGCGATGTGGCCTATACAATGACTTGCGGGGCCAGCCGATGTACAAGTCAGTGTTTTTATCCTCCCAGACAAGTCTGGTACCAATTAACCGACCCCGGAGGGATGGAAGGCTTGGTTGGCCCGGGCGACTCACGACCCAGGATTTGATCCCCGGACCGCTCGCGTGGTAAGCGTGCCACTTGCCACTACACCACTTCCGCCCTATCAGAAGAAGTTGCTCAGCACTTAATCATTTGTTGGCAGCTCCCACAGTGAGACCTTGCCCCTCTTCTCCCTTGATGGAAACATCGCGGGGGAACGCGTCCACCAGGGAAAGGATGGTATGCAGCCCAAGGAATGTGTGAATTTGAAAAAAATTCTGTAGATCGTGTTCTTATACGTAGATTTTATCACACGTCAGCTCGTTCGAGGAGCACATTTGATGTCAACATACTTTTCGAAAGCATCTGTGTGATCACTGAGCCTGCGACTACGATAGTCTTTCCGCGAAAACGAGGCTATACATCTTGCTAAAAATTTCTTGAGTGTGTTGGAACAGCTTTATATATGTCCGCACTTGTAAGGATTGAAAGGGTTGAGGTATGGCGATTGGTGCCATTTACCACGCGCCGGTCCTAGGTCAGGGTTTTTTTTCACCGGATATCGCCCAGGCCAACCAACTTCCATCGCAACAATGTCGGTTATCCGATTCTAGACTTGTCTGGAAGGGTAGAGCAAGGTGTGTCACAAGGGCTGGCCTCCACAAACCGGTGTGCGTGCGGAATCGTAAATATGGTCACTTGTGATTTTGAGCTGGAGTATCATGCCATGGCGCATTTTTGGGACAGGGTATTCTTCAATCACATGAAATGCTTTAATCGTTCAGCGGTTCCAATGGATGTAAAGCAGCTCTTTGGTTTTTGTTCTGGTTTTCAGCGAGGGCCTCCATGCTGATGTTATTCGCGTGTTTTTACGTTGGTTCAGTAGGTTGGGCAATGTGATTGCGATTGAGTTAGTAAATATTGTCATCAGATTATGTTTATTTCGAAAAATTCAACTGCTTCATATAACTCTAAATTTTTTTTTCAGTAACATCCGATTACGCTTCACATGCTGACACCGCTGAAGAAGATGGTACCTAGTAACGATGCGGATGAGTTGGATGAAGAAGATGAATACGATCAGGATGTTGATGAAGACACGGTCTTTGATGAAGATCAAAAAGGTACATTCATTTGAAAGTAGCCAAGCTTAACTCCTTTCATATCCTCACGGAACGCTTCTCTTCACTCTCGCCTCCACGCGGATTCATTTACGACCCTACAAATAACAATAGAAGACCGCCAGTTTCTCCGGACTCTGTGTTTAGATTTCCAAAAACACCTGGGATAGAGCTTTCTTCAGTGCGATTTCTACGAATTCAATCCATGACCCCGTTTCCAAGGGGAACTGTTGCGGTCGGCTTTTTCGGCATAATTGGCTTTGGAATCACTTGTTTTATATGCTGATTTGGGGATATCGCTTTAGCGCTCCTTTTCAATACCGCGACAAGCACTAATCGATTACAAATTTCCATCACAACGAAGAAATCAATGATTTCGACGATATCCCAACGATCAGCAATAAAGAAGCATTGCATTTTCTCAGGACTATTCAAATCGTTCCTGACGTAGACTGATCATATGTTATATTGCGTATCTTGAGTGTGTCTTCATCTAAGACCAATCTCGCTATGATTTTTTCCTATTTTTTATCCTTTTCAAAGAAGCAGGAATTATAGGTGCAGCGCTACGGGACAATCTTGCTGATCTCCAAACAGAGATTAATATCAAGGAAAGGTGAGGTCGCTTCTGATAATCATTTGGTCCGATTTTCCAAAACTCTCATTGTTCTTTTTCTTGGAATTGTTCGCTGACATGACTTTTGACACATGACTTTTTCTTTGGTGCCTTTTGCTTATGGTTTATTTGAGATTGATCGCGGAATTGGAGCGATCTGATCGACATCTGGCAGAAGTGCGATTGAGCTAAGAAAACTATGGAAACTCTTGCTCAATCAAAAAGATGGAAGCGGAACGTGATAGAGTGGTGATGGAAGCCGAAGCAAAGAAGTCTGATAAAGCTAGTCAGGAACAAGCGAAGGTGCTTAATAATCTGTTTTCTACATGGATCAGTCAACAGTAGCGGTAAGTGTTCGCTTGAAAAGTTTTTCGTGACTCTTTCTTAAAGGACGAATTCACGATTAGAATGAAGGTCGAAGAAGGAGTAATTCACCTAGTTGAGGGACCCGCGGACCTCCTGAGGGTGCGGACTGAAGCGCAATTGGCACCGAAAGGAGTTGACCTCGGCGACCTATTATGGCTCAATCTTGGCGCGGTGGCCAGTGCACGCCCACCGATCATCTGATCACTCGCCGCAGGTCTATACGTGGCGAGTGATTAGATAGGTGAGAGAGCGTAGTGTTGAAGAGGGCACAGCGATGAGAGTCGCATCAATGCTCAAATCAACGGGCAAGGAAGGGGTCCCATTTCTCGGGTTCTGGGCCGTTTCTCATGGTTTTTCCTTCTTTCGTGTACCACTCACCATCCCTAGGTTAATTTGAAATGGGTTGCTTTTTCATCGTGAATTCGTCCTTTAAGAAAGACTAGAAGATAGATGGAGTTTTCTTTTCTGTCTACATTTTAATCTTTGAGACGCAAGGATTGCGAAACACTTGGAAATATTTTGGATCGATATTTGAAACTGATCCTTCATGTGAACAAAAGTTATGCACGGGAAGTTGTTTTGGAACACTTTTGACCGCCATTGTATGGAATTCGCGGTAACAACACAAGATATCGGTAGGCTGGTGTCAGACTTCGCGAATCTCTGGATCCGAATCCACGGAATCGGCCATAGCGATTCGAGGTGTGCGAGGGTTTCGCCGGCGCATCTGTTATAATTCGCTGGTGCATCGTTCAAAAAGGTGGCGTGGAGTCTGCACCCCACTAGTTTCTGCAGGAACAGTTATATGCTCGATTTTGCCTCACTGGTGAAGTAGTGCTACAGTACGACCGGTGTCGGACTTTGTGACTCCATGGATTCGCTAGCGAATCCGCGGACAGCATTACTTTACCACAAAATCGAGCATAAAGCTGTTTCTGCTTACGGGATGGTTCTAATCACAGTTATAGCCTTCTTTGTTAGAGAGCTATTTCATGCTACATAATTTGGCGTTACAACAATTTTTCACCGAATTTATTGAAAACTCACGTAGAGGCAGTGGGGTCCTGATCACGAATTTGACATTCCTTTTTGGCATCGTTGACATTATTTGCCGGTTTGGCTGAATGAATATCAAATTTGTGGACAGGGTCTTTGAAAACTCCCTATATGTGAGTGAGTTATGGAGTGCTCGGGAGAAGGTTGCGGCGCTAGATTGGTACCAAACGAAACCAGGGTTAGGAGCGGTTGTCTATACGTAACGAGCACAATCAATAAAGCCCAAACTAGAAGTTTCAGTGGAAACTTTTTTGCTTCACCTCCCCATGGTGAGGTTATAGTAATGCAAAAAAAACAAGATATGAATAAAAAGGAGAGGACTGACTGAAAAATCGCTATGATCAAGCTGCTGTTCTTCAGGTCCAGATACTTCGTGGAATTTAGATGAGGAGATTGTATGAATACTGGAGCAGTACAAATTCTCCTATCTGTACTGATTAAATATTCATGAATTTCGTCCTTGCAAAATATTCTCAGACCTAAACACATCCCTCCTTGATAGTCATTTGATATTCTTTTCGAAGTTTACGTGGCCTTTCAGAGAATTCGAGAAGAGTACGAGCGAAAGCTGGCTGACATGAGAAATGAATTCCGTAAGCTGCAAATGGTTGAAAGGGAGCATAAGCGCATGCAGGTTAGTTTTGGTGAAGATCTCACGACTACAGGCGAGGGCCAAGAAAAAGTCACTTCCTCTCAATATTTAAAACGAAATAATTATGTACTATCCGCTAAACTCAAAGCGAATGCACCCAAGTGAACTCCAAAGAGCACATTCCAATCAAAACGCTGGTCGGAAGGGGTCTTGCATATTGAGGTAACTGTCTCTAAGAAGCTCCTTATCAGTTGAGGATCAAAGCAGTTGTGTGACAGCAGCAACTACGGTAGGTCTCCTTAATTAGACGGTGATGGCAATGGCGTCACATTCTGAGGATAGTGGGGACAGTGAAGGAGGGCCTGTTTCCGGTTATGGAGGGGCATAGAAATATTTTGCCGTAAAATGTCATCAAATGTGGCACTCTCCTCGACCAAAAGTCTGGCGATGTGCGTCTTGAGCGAAGTGACTTTTTTGCACCCCATCCTGTATATTGAAAGCTAAAGTTTGAAACGAACTTTGGGTTTACCTTTGCTTCATTGCCCTGTTCATAGGCCAGACAAGAACGTGAACGCCAGGAACTGCAACGATATCAAGCTGAACTGAAGGAACTGAAGCGAGTTAAGGTGAGGTGAAACTTTGGTCTCTACATAGAAACTTTCATTCAATTACTAAGGAACGGAAACGTCGCTGCATGAGAGAGTGATTTGCTTTCCCTCCTACAGGGTTGTTTTCAAGGGAATCCTTTTTCAAAGGTAGCGATGGTAACGTCTGGATAGCGTGCGGTTTTGATGATGCCATTGAACTTATCGTAGTTAGTGGAAGGTTAGCGTTAAGAGGCGGTGACCCTTCCAACGCGAGGGCCAGTCCACCTGTGACGTTCAAGTGATGAGGGGAGCTCGTAGATCATAATTCAAGCGAGAAAACTAGTCCAAAATGTACATGTCTTTTGGCTTTGATTGCCGTTGTTTTTTGATTTTCTTCAGAAGTATGTTTAATCGACTAGGAGTGCATT